TCGAACACTTGCGAAAAGAAGAAGAATCCAGGAACATTGTCGGACGGCAAGATACTGTTTTATCACCAGAAGGAAAGGTGTGAATTCTCTTCTTCTCCCTCCAGCTATGGGTAAATAGCAGGACAGACTGGGTTCTATAGACTTGGATGGCAACTCGTCTAGGAGAAGGACAACTCTGAATTCAAAACCTGCGGAGGGTCACTAGGTCTCTATTTAGCTCTTCAAAAGTTTGGGGAACCAAATCTTGTGGTTGTCATAGTGTAAGAGCAGATCTGCTTGACCTCGCCACAGCCGAATCCATTTTTTTCCAAATATATTAAAAATAAAGAATCCATTTTTTTTTCAAATATATTAAATTAAATTTGCTAATTTTCATCAAATAAAAAAGGACTTAAACTAGGATTTTTTAGTTTACAAAATTTTTCAAAAAAATGGTGTGTTTTTTTTTTAGTTTTGGTGGATCTAAAATTTTGGCTGCATAAAAAATTTTTAAAATAACAGCTTAATAATGATATATGGTGGTTATTGGGTCTGGCCTTGACTTTTTTTTGACTGGTACTTGTATTTTCTTCAATAACATTTCTCAAACTGACTGGTAAATTTCCATTAGCATCCTAACAGTTCCAATTTTGTATATTTATATTCATCAATAATGTTTCCCCTCCAACATTGATTAATGTTTTAAAGAAAATTATCATTACAAATTTATCTCCCATCATAAATACCTCACTGCCATTCTATTGAAGTGTAATAATTTGAAAAAAAGACACTTTCGTATGGTGATGGTGTCTTTGGTTGCATCATTGAAGAATGTCAGCATTCATAGGTTCTCAAGAGCTTGTTGAAAAATAGGAAGGTTCCGCCTGAAAAACACAATTGAATGACATCAAATTTTTATTTATTATGTGATTGGAGGGAGGGTTATTAGCTTTAGTCTATCTAAGAGAAGAAAAACTGATTTCAATGTTCCACTGCTTTGCAATGGAAATATAGGGTAGATGAACCTCTTTAGCTGTGATGAAGTCACTCTATCCTGAAGGAAAACTTCCTATATAAAAAAATTATGAGGTTTGTAAAAGAATTGTTTCATAATGGATGCTACTTGCCATACCCACAATTATAATGGATTGTGAAAATAACAGGGAATTGTGGGTAGAAAAGTGGCTACATGAGTCAATGTGAAATTTATTGGAGCATCAAGATGTCAAACTCTCTGCTTTGTTATGTGCTTTCAGGCAGAGAGGAACCCAAATGAGGCTATGCCAAAAAGCAGAGTCTCATCTGGAGAGGTACACAAACCCAACCCTGTGTATGCGGGGTCTACAGGAAATCTTTGCACGAGCCTATGGGCTGGGATCACCTACATAAAAATTGGCCATGTGACACATCTTTCCTTGTTGGGTGGTCAGGTAAATTCTGGCTTCATCAAGTATGGCACAACTTCACAGACAGATGGATGGACAAAATAAGCAGAGTGAAAGAGGAAGAACAAAGGAAAGCAAGAAGAATGTGAAAAAGGAAAGAAAAATAAATTGTTTTGCCCCTTAAAACAACAAGGTTATAAATACCAGTTTGGTATTTTGAACAAGTAAATCCACCTTATGAAATAGGAAAGCCTCCTTTAAACCTGTTTGTGCATAAATCTTTCTAATCCTGGTGTCAGAGTATGGCACCTTCTTCTAAGTTGCCCTTAGCCAGCATAGATGAGTAAGCTGATAAAACTAACAAGAAAATGCCAACCCAAAGATTCCCAAAACCAGAAAGGGCCACCTCCAGACCCTTGCCCTGTAATCAAGATTGACTGATTGATTTGTTTTCTATGGCTTAACAAACCATTGCAGATTATTTAAAGCCAGAAAATATTTTTTTATATGTAAATGTTTTTTTTTAGATCATAATGGTTTAGTGATACAAGTCTTACTAATTAACCCATAGTTGGGGAGGAGAAGAGACGGATTCATATCTTTCCTAAGGGTTTGAGCAGAAGTGAATATAACAAACCGAATGGGAATTGGAACTTGGCTCTCCAATTAACAATTCTGAGTCATTCTCCATCACACCATCTTCACATCCAAGCTTACAGCACCTGGTATTCCTAAACAGTCATTCATCTAGGTACTGACCAGGCTTAACATTGCTTAACTTCGCTGATCGTAGAGTAACCAGTGTTTCAATGTGATATGAGCATCAAGAGAGCAGATCAACAATGCCAAACTGGTGTTTCAGTGGTGATTAAAAGATTCCTCCAACAGTCTCAGACTGGTGTGTTATATGCCACCAAAGAAAAATAAATACAGCAACTTAAAGCCAAGATTTTTGGAGAGTTACTGCCATAGGTGGAAATTAGAAAAATATATGAGGTGCATATAGCCTAATGATAACTGCACAGAGAATGGAATACAAGGTTAACTAAATTCAAACACAGTCTAGGACAGTTTACATTTAATTTGTATTAATGCCCCTGGGAAATACATGAACTCACTTCATTTTATATTTGATAATACAATCAGCCTTCTCTCATTTGCTACACTTTGAGCCCAGATATTCTCTGGTGAAAAGAAAAAGATGACAGATGTTAGTTTTTTGAGTGACCCATGTAAATTAATTTTTCAGGCAAAAAGAGTAATTTCAAGTAAGATACAAACAGATATTTAAATTGATTTAGAAAATACTTGAAGGAATAATGAAACCAAAATGAAAGCAATTAGATATTTTGTAAACAGTTATTAGTTATTACAGCTAATAATATACAGTGACAGTTATTATCAGTTATTACAGCTAATAATATACAGTGATAATAAACAGTTATTATCAGTTATTACAGCTAATAATATACAGTGATAATAAACAGTTATTATCAGTTATTACAGCTAATAATATACAGTGATAATAAACAGTTATTATCAGTTATTACAGCTAATAATATACAGTGATAATAAACAGTTATTATCAGTTATTACAGCTAATAATATACAGTAATAATAAACAGTTATTATCAGTTATAACAAACAATTATTATTAAACAGTTATCACTTGTTTTTGAATGACATCTATTGCGGTTTTCAAAGTCTTTTTTTTTTCAATATTCTTTAATATCAGAAGTTTTTAGCCTTTACTTGGAAAATGTCCTGATGACATTGGAGTTTTACTTAAAATTTCATCATCATTCATATCATTAGAAGTTAACAAAATTGTTAATTTCTTCACCATCATTACCCAAATTTTGTACTTTTTATTCTTCTTTCTTCTTTCAGATTTGAAATTGCTCATAAATGTGAAAGTCATAAAACAAGTTAGTTTAATCCTTGTTTACACAGAATGTTCATGAAGTCACTATTTCAATTTTTGATGTTATCTGCAGTTGAGTATATCATGATCAACTGATCCTTTGAATAAAATAATAAATCCATTATTTTTACCAATTAATGTTGGAGCACCATCACCTGTAATCGAATAAATTTTATTTCTATCGATATTGAACTTTTCAAATTAACTTTTTTAAATTAACGTGCTGAAGTGTGACCCTGTTGGTTGTTTTAACCTTCATATGGCATAAGTTCAACATTTCTTCAATTATATAAAAATTGACATCAATTCCTCTGATGAAAATAACTAATCGTGCAGTGCCCCTTTGATCGATACTTTTGGCCAATGCTAAACTAATAAACACATTTAGATAATTGGGTCTGCAATGTAATGTGAGAAAAAGAGCAACAAGATGCAATTCACTCCACCAGAAATTTGGAAATAGCATGCTGTACTGCTTGGTATTCATGCCAGAAGCTCCAATACAAACATTTCAGAGTATTTGGGTGTCAGTATGAGGACAGAGCAGATTCAAAAAGAGTTGGATGAGTCTAATGGTGATTACGAAGGTACAACAGCTTGGAAAACTCATTCTGATCATTCTGATAAGAAAAGAACTCCCAAATTTGTTGGTAAAGGCCTCAGACTCAACACAGAGAGCGACATCAAGTGACTTAAGGAGGTAGTGCTACGCAGTGTCAAGAGGGTAGCTGCTAGAAGACTATGTCAGGCAACAGGACTCTGCACCATGCCAAACAAGTGGGAGAACCCCACTCATAGCTGTCAGACAATTTTTGTGACCATAACAACCCTTACATCTGGCCACCTAACTCCCCAAACTGCAACCCCCTTGATTATTATGTGTAAGGTGCAATTGAGCAAGAGACAAAAAAAACTCCCTGTAACACTAAAGATGAACTGAAGGCAAAGATTATGGCAGTATTCACCAACTTAAACAAGGAGACAATCCAGAAGAGTTGCAGGAGATTCTGAAGTTGTCTGGAGGCCGTGGTTGAAGCCAATGGCAATTTTATTGAATAAATTTACTCTTTAATATTTCAAGATATTTTTGTGCAATTTTGGTGAATATACTTGTTAAAAGAAGATGTCAGTGATATTTTCATTATTTGTGTAATTTAGAAAAAATCTACAATGACATCTTGAATCACTTTTCTGTCGTGCCTTTCTGTAAATATCTTTATGGTAATTGTTCCTCTTTGGTACCTAGACTTTATGTATTTAAGTGCAGTTGGTGGCAAGGTATCATCATTTTAAAGTTGAAATGCTGATATGTAAGTTCTATGCTAACAGTTTCTTCTCTCACACTTCTTTCTTGTGGAAGCTCTCTTCCAACTTCTTACTTTCCAGTTTGATCTTCAAAAATTTAAATGCAATGTCAGTTGTTATCTTCTGAATTCCTGTTCTTTTATTGTAGCCATCAACAGTTGCACTAGCATGAAGTCAGTAGTCTTCAGGACCATGGATTTGTTCAACTATCACACAAGATTATGTGTTTTCTCCTACAAACTGTAACTATGGTCTGCTCAACATAGCTGCAGTCTAACCCAAGAGTTGGCTGTGTGAGTTGTGAAGAAACACAAAATGAACCTGAGCAGGTGTTGGCAACAGAGATTAGCTAACCACTCTAGTAGACACCATAGTCTCTTAAGACTGACAGATGTCTACTACTATAATTAAGATAGAAAGAAAATTGATCTTACCTGCGCATTGACATCTTTAGCACCAGATTGCCCTGACAATTCAATAATTTGATTAATTACTTTATCACTGTCAGCAAGAGGCTGAACTTCATCCTGAGCTGGTAAAGCCTGAGGAAAAAAATAATAGTTAAAAGATGTAACATTTCACAAAAAAAAAGCTAAAAAATTGAATTACATATTAAGTGAGCATGTGTGTATGTGTGTGTGTGTGAAGGAGAGTCAAAAATTATCCACTCTTATCTAAAGATATGTTATGGCAAAAGTGTGGTAACTATTGCCTTACCTTTGCATATATATATATCTGTGTGTGTATATATATATATATATATATTTCAATAAGTCAATTATAAATTTAGCTAACAATGACAAGACATAGTGAAAATTAATTGAAAAACATCCTAAAATACATGCATGTGCATCTTTTAATATATACTTTCATCATACATTATTGATCCATTACAAAAACAAAAGTTTATATTAAATATAATTAGATAAAAATCAAAAAATGTGGGAATATTTATGCAGATTATTTTTATACTTTAAAAAAAAAAAACGGTTGATAATATTCTAATTATAAAAATAATTTCAAAATTTTGATTAAATAAATTTAAAGTATGAAGTTATTGAATAAATGAAAATAAACTCTCGTAATAGTTATAGAAAGGACATAGATGATATGCGAGACATTGTAATCATAGTAATGCTTTGGCAATAAATGTCTCATAGGTGGATGTATAGAATAAATTTATTACATATATTTTGAAAAATGAACAAGTACTATTTAAAATGTCAATATTGATTACTTTTCTTTATACCCTGCTTACTTTCATTCATTACCAAGCTGTGCTCTAAATGCTAAGGTGGTTACCACTTTCAGAGCAGAAAGTCATTTTATTGAAATAACTAAGCAATTTAATTATAAAGATTATCAATAAAACGATTGGTAATTTATAAAAAAAATCACAAAAAACAGATTGGAAATGAATAACAAAACATTTTTTTGACTTTTAAAGCTGAATATGCAATTACTTTCATTAAGCAAGTTGGACAGGATATAAGTCCTATGTTAGTAGATATAAATAATAAAACTGCATTTATTTGATGTCATAGTTTTACGTATTTGCATGCAAACACATGAAAAGTTATATTTTTTATAGTTTTTAAACAGATAAGCAAACCTTAAGCTTTATATATAAAATAATAATTAAAATATATATTAACAGCAACCTAAACATTTTATTAAGATTAACATGGCCAAACAATTTATAAAAGAAATTGAATACAAAAATTACTTTACATAAATATTGAAATATGGACAAAATTTATCACAACTCTACTTCCTTGATTAAAAACCAAATATGATTTTATTTTTAAATAACTTCATACTCTTTGCTTTGAAATTATCTGATGATATTTGCTGAATGTATATAATATCAGAAGAAATGCTTACGGCCGATTCTGAATGCGATCGACTAATATGGGCATTTAAGCTGCCAAGTTTTCGGAAGATACAACTGCATTCATCACATTGGAAATTGGGGCCATTGGAATCTTTTGTTAATGAGTGCACTCGCTGTAAGAAGATAAAAGCTTAATTTTACAAAAATGTTCATTTCAAAGAAAAACAAATTAAATGACTCATACAAGTTCTTTCTCTTTTGCAAATCATATGAAAGCAGTTTATTAATTTACAGAAAAATCAAAAATCTTTATATAAAAACAAGTTATTTTTATATTTAATCTAAAAACACTTTTAATTGAGACTTCTGTTTCATTCTTTTTATTTTTGAAGGGTGATAATTTTTGTCTGAGAAGAGGAATTATCATTATTTACAATCAGGTTAATATTTTTATCATTGTTATCACAATAGCCAAGTAGATATAGTGGATGATACAGTAATCATGAGTTCAATCCCTGGGTCAGATAGTACAGATTGGAATAAGATAAATGATAACTGAGAAGTACTAAATAAGAAGTAGATGAGATGACTCTAGGCGTGGTCAGCAGAATGAGAACAATCTACCTCATAAACAGTGGTGGATCTACTAAGAAATGAATGAAGCTTAAGCTTTAGGACTCCCATTCCCGGGGGGGGGGTGTCACTGAAGCAACTTTTTTTAATGAGTGAATTTTTCAAGAAAATAAATGTTTTTTTTTAAGTCTGCAATTATTAGAATCATAAGTCAATGAGTTGAAGTAGCTAATGCTGGCCTTAGAATATGCTTGAAAACATGTTTCATATGACCTCAAAATTTTTTGATCAAATTTCAATATTTTGTTGGGGGCTTGCAGCATCTAATCCCCCTATCTGTATGGGCTCATTGAGCTCACCAGAATCTATTCATAGCCTACATTTTGGCAGTTGTATCTTTGAATCTATTGTTGCTGGTTGCAAAAGTGCTCACTTATCTATTCATGTTTCAGGCTCCCAGAAATGTAGGTCCATCACTGCCCAATAAAGAGTTCAGATTAAAATTCCCTGAAAGTTTCCTGAATTGACAAGCACCTAATGAAGACTGGAGGACACAACAACCAAAACGTGATAACAAATTTGAGAACATTAGTCTGAGTGTAAATAAAAATGATGATCTCCACTTTTTTTGTTTACCTTTAAAATTTATATATTTCTCGGAAAAGAACACTTTCAAATACCAAAGAAAAAAATATTATCTTAATTTAAAAATATTTTATTCACATTCAGTCACTTTCCCACTGCTATAAAGTTACCCACCCTGTGCCTTTTCTATAAATACTGTCATAGTAATTTTTCAGATGAGCCCTTCACTATGGTACCGAAACATTTTGAACTTAAATGCAGTACTAGACTGGTGTTGTGAGCTAAACAATTTACATATGAGTTGGTTAAATGTAGCTGTAAATTCTATACCATTTCTCTTCTCACATTTCTTGCTTGTGGAAATCCATTTGGGCTCCATGTTTAACAGCCAACTTTAATCTTCAAAAATTTAAATACAATGTCAATCGCTATTCACTGTCCTCAAGATTACGCATATTTTGTTCTTGGTTCTTAGTAATGTTTCCGTTTTCTAATTCTTCCACATTCAGTACCACCTTGTGTCTTAAGGGCTTTACTACCTTGCTTGGGATGAACTCAAATATATATATATATTATAATCTTTGCATTGAGCACTTTACTTCACTGGTAGGTGCTTGCATATGGTCTTTCTTTTTTTTTTCTTTCTTTGTTCAAGATTTTTTCTTGTCTAAGGTATTATGTCTTCTGGCAAGTTGTATGTTGGTCACACCAACATGGTTTTTCTTTAGTAGTATATAATCATCTGAGATTATCTATAAATCTACCATTCACCCATGTTAAGAATATTGCTGCTACATATGGTCCCGTGCTCCTGCTATTCATTTAGTGCTCCTTTATAAAATCCAAAGAAGAATCAGCAATATTATTGGTCCTGATCTGGTGACTTGGTTTCAATCACTTTCTTTTGTGAGGTCAATGAACACTTGTTGCCACTTTTGTAATGTCAATAAATACTCACTGTCACTTTCGTATTGCTTGTTGTAGTAGAGACTTTGTAATCACAGATACAACTATAGTAACACCATTGAACAATACTGGTATCAGACGCCTTTGAGTAACACCCACACTAATAGTACTTGCTTGAAAGTAACTACCGAATAGTAATCTGTGTAGTGATCAGTATAGAGAAATAGTATAGTGAATAGTATAGAGATAGAGGATAGTGTAGAAAGAGTGATCCAAATAGTAATAGAGGATAGAGTAGAAATGGTGATCAATTAGACGCCACACTAATTCTCATATATGCGTTTCCTCTATGGTCACGTGATCTACTTAATTCAATAATGAAATTGCCTGTGTTTGCTCTCTGGTGATGTGTGTTCAAACTCAAATGTTGACAGTGACACTTCATTCCTATATAACATTTTCCCACATGTACCTCCCTATGCCTTTTCTATAAATACTTTCATGATAATTGTTCAGATGAGTTCTTCGCTATGATACCTAGACTTTTTGAATTTAAGCACTATACTAGAGTGGTGCCGAGATCTCATCAATTTACAGTTGTTATTGGCATAGATGTAACTATAAGTTCTATGCTAACAGTTTCTTTTCTCACACTTCTTTTTTGTAGTTCCCTTTTCTGGCACTATGCTTTCCGACCAACTTTAATCTTCAAAAATTTAAATGTCATGTTAATCGCTATTCACTATCCTCCTGATTACTCTTCTTTTCTTCTGGTTCCTTAGTAATTTTTCTGTTTTCTAATTCTTCCACATTCATTAACCTCTGGTGTCATAGTTGCTTTACTGCCTTGCATGGGGTGAACTCAATTAAAAAAATTCAAACAATGTATGGCAAATTATTAAAAAAAAAACATTTAAAAAAGAAATTTTTTAAAATTCTTAGATTATTTAATAATTCTGAATATGAAATATTCAGAATCAAGAAAAAAAAAAAAAAAAAATCAAAAAAATAATTTCTAGATGTTAGGGTCTGAAAAATGCCATTTCAAGAGATAGATGTATCTCACCCGGATGTGAGCACGTAAGTTTCCCTTTTGAGAAAAAGTTGCCGAGCAAAAGTCACACATATGCGGCCTCTCACCAGTGTGTTTAGTCATGTGAATCTGAAGAGCACCTTTCTGGTTGAAAGTCTTATCACACATTTTACAATCAAACGGCCGTTCACCTGGATACAGAAGAGAAATAAGAACACATCATTAAGAAAATACTGTTATGTCAAATCACCAATTCAAGCTTTTTTGAAAACGAACAAATTTTTAATCAGATTTAATTATATTTCATGTACTAATTTTTAATACTGAAAGTATTACCAGTACCAAGTTTACAAGCTGCAATACTGTCTAGTTTACAAGTCTTACTCAAAGAGTGTATTATTATTATCATTGTTATTAGTCCTGATCTGTCACCTCAGCTTCAGTCTCCTTTCCATCGACCTGACACAACTTCCTTATCCCTTTTCTATAAATATTATGGTAATTATTCTGGCGAGTTTCCCCCTTTGGTACCTAAATTTTAAAAATTTAACTCCTTTACTGGCATTGGCAGCTAGGTCCCATCATTTTAAAAATTCTACTAAAGGTAACCATAAGTTTCTTCTCTTTTGCACTTGTGGAACTCCAGTTTCTTGCTTTCCAGTCAAACTTTGATCTTCAAAAATTGTCAATCATCAACTTCTGTCTCTTTGAATCATGCTCTTTTTGTTTATTTTTATTTTGTTTTGTTTTACAGTATATCAACACCTCAATGGGTTATTTAATGCTGACAAAATTTTTATTGCTGGTAATATTTTTTTTTCTTCAAAAATCTATTGCTGGTAATATTTTTTACAAAAAAGTATTTCTGGTATTAAAGCTTAGCGGTTAACTTAGTTATGTGCCCTGATGCACATTTAGGCAATCATGTATCTTTTGATAGATGACCGACGCGGTAGATTTTTTCCCGCAGTAGGTTACCATTTCTTTCTGCAGTAGATCAGTTGCCATCCAAAGCTACAGAACCCAGTCTGTCCTGCTATTTACCCATAGCTGGGAGGAGAAGAAGAGGTGTTAGCACACAAGTGAATACAATGGATTCAACTGGAATTCAAACTCGGCTCTCTGATTCCTTAATCCAAGCCGCTATCCATTACTCCACTGTGAACTACTTGCCCATAACTGGGGCCCCAACAGGTGCCACCACCCTGGGCTAGGGTGGACCTGAGAACACCAGCAACCAAGAGGTGGTTCCATGCTCCTTAAAACCCCCCAATCAGAGGCCTTGCTGTCAGACATAGTTTATCGTCTTACCCAGGACACAGATGTAGCTTATCATCATACCCAGCATGGTTCTGCTCTTTTATTGTCCTCTCTCTTTAATAATGTTTTCTTCTTCACAGACTATTTATCTCCTAATAACTCCCTTGCATCTTTGTGGCTTTATTGCCTTGTCTGGGGTGAAATGATTAAAAACAAAATACTAAGTAACAAAATTTGCCTTTTGAAAAAGCAACCATTTTTCAGATCATTCATAAAGCAAAGATCAATTCTAGGGACTAGGATTAATTGATTATAAGAAAACCCCAGCTGAAAAATTATCTGTAATAAAGTTTGGAAAGGTTCCATTTTTAATCACCCTCCTGAATCCAAAGAATTGCAATAAACACTAAAACATTTATATTATGGAAAAATAATTCTATTTTAATGAATCTGTATTCGACTTAAGAAATGAAACATACCTGTGTGTATCCGGATATGCCGTAACACCTGACTTGGTTTCTGGAACGATTTGCCGCAATGTTGGCACTTGTGGTGGAAATTCGATCGGTCGATGTTTCGCTTGTAGGAACGATGAGACAATGAAGACCTGGAATTAAGGAGCAGACAGAAAAAAAAGAATCAAAATCAATGACGAATCAATCAAATGACCATCTTTTCAAACCCAACTTTATTCTATCATCAGATGGATAAACTGTGAGAAAATGATATAAAATTGATAATAAAAAATAATAATGAGTAATAAAAAAATAAAAAAAATATATTTTCCCATGATGCTAAGAGTAAAGGAACTGGAAACTTGATTGCCCCACTTGGCTTCGTCAAATGATATTAGGCAGCACTGATTAAGTCTATAGATATTTTCCTGTTTCACCTTCTTTCTCCTCCCTACTCCAATATGTAGCAGTTCTGCTGGGAGACATTAGTTTTCCCAGTCCACTAAAAATTGACTGTCTTTCCACTTTCCAACACATGGTATTTGCACATTGCTTCAAAAGCCTCCACCTATGAAGTCAAGCTTTTTCTTTGGGTGTTAAGCGGACTTGAGTTCAACCATTATAACGATGCTTATCCTTACTTGCCCAAACTTCTAGACCAAGAAAAAGAAAACAGACACATGCAAGAGACACTGAGAACTTTGTTTCATTACAGCTTAAATAAGAGAATAAACAGTCTATGGTAGAAACCCAAGTATTTGTATGCTTCTTTGATTGTTTACATGAGAACACACACCCACTTAAAATACAGACAATTATGGTACCATTAAATTCTATAAAATCGTTCATCAGTTGCATACTGCTCACACTTTCAGCATCTTGCATTAACTAGAATCTATATCACTTGGATTGTGAACTGACCTCATTGAAGTAGCAAGATTTTTTTTTTTTTTTTTTTTTTTTTTTTACTAACATTCACCCAGTACAAGGCCAAAGAGCCACTCAATGTAGGGGGTTACTGTGTGGACATATATTAGCATAGGAAAGAACAAACTTTTGGAGTATAGACCTGAAGCAGACTTTACAAGGAACCAGAAAACCTAATCCTAAACAGGAAACAAGAGATAAACCTCTATTCCTGTTCAAAAAACATGAAAGGAATGTGAACCTATCTACTATTGGTGGAGGAGAGAAAAACATTTATAAAATAAAACAAATGGTTAGAGAACAAAATTTCAGAGTTCAGGCGCAGATGTTAGGAGTACAGAGCTGAAGCAGACTTTAGAAGGAACTGGAAAGCCAATCCAAAACAAGGGATAAACATCTACTCCACCCCAGGGAGGAGTGTGAATCAGACAATAGGCAAACTTTTCTACTCCTATTGGTGGAGGAGAAAAAAAATAAAAATGAAATAAATTGTTGGTGAATAATTCAGACACCAATAATGTTGTGAGAGGATTAATATGGTAATTGTAATAATGGCCCTTTCCCTATAAAGAAATATTTGGCATTCATTCACTGAGCAACCAGTGCTACTTTTGATTAAAATTCATAAAATCTTTCTATTAAAACAATTTTTCAGGAATAGAGGTTTCTCAAGTCAAGGTTGTTTTTTTCAAGTACTGACAAGAGTTTCCTTCCTAATTATTTGAAGTACTGTGGAACACCAACATCTTCATTATGTTATTATTTTCTCTTCCAGTTGCATGTGATATCCATTTTAGTGGTTGCAGTTGTTGAAAGCCCTCAAATGATGTGGTTTCTGTTATTTGGTATAGTTCTTTATGATTATGTAGTATCAGTGTGCAAAGTTCAAAGATGGATAGTCCTTGTTAAGCTCTACAAACTTCATTTGCTCAAAGTCATTTTTAATCCTTAATCTGAAAAAGCGGTTGTACACAGCTGACAGTTTACCTATTTCTGAGCAAGTTTGGTGCATAACATTCATATGAAAGTCTTGACTGGACAAGGATACTAAAGAACATGACTAGAGTTTTTTAATGTTACATACACTGTAGTTTATTGGAACTATATAGACCTTTACCGCTGCTGAAAACTTGAAATTCCTTGTCATTAAAATATACAACATTGTTGACACACTTTGTGATAAGTCTTGTGGATTACCAGCAATTAACTTGGTATTTATCTCCTGAGAACACTCATCTCACTAGCCAGCTTCTATAACTCGAACTGGAAGAGTTCCTTGAGCAAGGAGATAATACGCAATGCAAATCCATAATAATTCTGTTATAAAGTTGTGGAGCAGAAATGGAAATAAACATCAAGACAGTCAATCATCAAATGACAAAAACATGGTTTCTGTGCCAGAGGATCTGTGCATCCTTCTGGTTAGTCAATTAAACATTGGAAAATAAATATTTAACATTTTTCAACTAATGGGTCACTGTCCCACTGACAATAAAAACATGCTTTGTGATCCTTTTGAAGTGTATTTAAGCAAAGCTTCTAGACCAGACAAGCCAGTAAGGAACTGCAACAAATGGCAGCAGTTCACAAAGGCCTGCACAACTTCAAAGAAATTCCCTTACTCATTCACCTATCTTACTGAGCTATGTGACACTTGCACCTCCCTCACCAAGCTATGCAACACATACATGCACCCTCCCTTACCAAGCTATGCGACACATACATGCATCCTCCCTCACCAAGCTACGTGACACAAACATACACTCTTCCTCACCAAACTACGTGACACATACACTCCTCACCAAGCTACGTGACACATACACCCTTCCTCACCAAGCTACGTGACACATACACCCTTCCTCACCAAGTTACGTGACACATACACTCTTCCTCACCAAAGCCATGTGACACATATATACACTCTTTTTCACCAAGCTACATGTCATTTACAGTCTTCCTCACCAATCACCGTGATATTTACACTTTCCTCCTCACTTTTTCACCTCTTTTTTCCCCATACATACACTCGAAGAAATCACAAACAACTACAAACAAGGACTGTAAAAACATATGCATGTTAAGAAAAATATTGGTTGTAAAAACACACACCAAAAAAAATTTATATTTTGATATTTAAAAACCTTTCTTGCCTTTTCCTTTGTTGTGGGGTGATTCAAATCCACAACAAAGTAAAAGTACTTAATTCTGGTAAATATAATACATTTATCAAAAGCAATTTCCCTTATCAAATATATATTAAAATAATGAACTAGACCGCTGCTTTTTTTTTAGCTTAGCAAGAAATTGTAGGAAAGACAAAAAGGCAGGCTTACTTAGATACCAAAAAACTCACAAACATGGATAAACATGTCCACAATAAGGTGTAGTGTCAAAAGGACAGTTTTTCCCCATGACACTGCTTTTTTAACTACTTTCACTCTTCAGCAATGTTTATTATTTTAAAAAGTGATGATTAGAATTGGGATAAAACCTAAACACATGATAAAAGTGAATTTATACATTTTTTGTTCTTGAGAATTTACAACAAATATTAAACACTATTAGATTGTTTATTTATAAGAATAATTTTACATTTACAATATTCTAAAAACTAATACAATTAATGCTAATGCAATGCAATATTTATCATTTATCAATTTTTAAAAAGATAAATATGAAAAATATTTTCATTTATAAAAAATTACTAAATTATTAAAATATGTGAACCAACTAAAAGAAATCTTTATTATTTACCATTTTATGAATTTTGAATCTATTAGCAATTAGCCGATGTTTTGTCAATGATTCCAATAAATAATATAATAAATAGTGTAAATAAACAATTTATTAAATAATTAGTGTTTATTATTTTTGTTGTAAATTTTCTAAGAAAATGTATAAATTCACTTCACTTTCATCATATGTCTAGGTTTTATTAAAATTCAAATCACTGCTTTTTAAAACAATAAATATTGCCAAAGAATGAAGGTAGTTAAAAAAGTGGAATCATGAGAAAAATCATCCTTTTGACATTACATCTTATTGAGGGCACAATAGTCTATGTTTGCCAAAAAAAGTATTGTAATTTTCAAATGTTTTAAGAGTTGCTCACTTGATTCGATAATGCTGTTTCATGTGTTCCCGTAACAATGTCATTTTAGGGAATTCTTGTGTGCACTGACGACAAGAGTATGATCGCTTCCCTTCTTGATCCTGGCGATGTTCCCTCATGTGTCTATCCAATTGGCTCTACAAATAAAAAATCATATAATTGAATATTATTTACTTTGTTTATTCTTGTACATGTTATGTTCGTTGTACTTTCTAATATCTAATCTACAAAGTGATAAACAATATATTAAAATATTTAAAAGATTATTTTATATTTAAAGGGCTATAAATTAATGTTGATCAGTGGTAAATGGCTGCTAACAGTGTGGAGCTTGAATAGGCTGATGTGAAAGGGCCCCAAGACAAAAGGGGCCCCCAAGTGACCTCTAGTCCTGATGAGCCCCTGATAAAACTAAAAAAAAATAAAGATATAAGAACAGAAGATATTTGTTTATTTTCACATTTAATGGGGCTCCTTTGAACTAATTTGAAACAATTTAGAGAATTTGGGCCCCTCTAGATGGAGTGGGTCTTTTAAATTTGATGTGGTCTTTGATGCTTATTTTTTATATACATATAGATTGTTGATGTAGGTTTTTTAGCTTTTGCATAATTTTGTCTACTTTGCTCAATTTTACATTTCATCAAACATACATGTAATAAGTGCAAAATTGCCCAATATTATACAAATTAGACAAAATACTGCCAAGTTCTCGTCATATAGATGTTTGGAGATGCACCTATAAACAGTGGTATTGCCTCCATAGATATTTATTAATGACCTGAGAATTATTTTCACCCCAAGCAAGGTGGAAAGCCACGAGGACGCAAGGGATTACAGAAAATTTGAAGCAAGATCAGATAGGAGTGATAGAAGAAAGGATGAGGAGAAGAGTAGTGGATAGATCAAGGCAACTGGAGATACAGAGGCTAGTGAGAGAGAGAGAGAGAGAAAGAGAGAGAGAGAGAGAGTACCGGAAACCCCTTCCTAAACAAGAAACAAGGTGTAAGCCTCTACTCATGTCCAAGAGAAAGGGGGAGGAATGTAATAGTGCCTTTACAGTATTAAATTATGACTAAATTAATATAATTATTATTAATATCTGTGAAAATTTAATGGTTTTGTTATTTGAATTAAGTTAAAGATTGAATAAGCATATTGCAAGATCTTCAACAATAAAATACCCATGGAAATTCCCCTTTGCATTGTTAAATATTTGAGTTTAGCAAAATATTGCAATAACAATCATAAGTATGAATGCAGGTTATTTTTAAAGAAGTAAGAGGGTACAAATGAAAAGAGTAAAAATTGAAAAGCTTTTCCATGCATGAGAGCATTATCATCCCCACTATCTTCCCCTCTTTTCTTTTCCTCAATGAAACTAAACAGCATCTCTGATGTCTTTCCTTTTGATCAAAAGAAGATTATGAGAAATTGGCACGATGTAACATACATACTAAGAGAAACAAAGAGACAAATATAGTTTAAAAAAACAAAGATTTTTTTTTGTAGTTTTCAGATTAGAATGCTCACATTTAGTTTGCCATGATGTTTATTTCACTGTATGAGCATTTATATTTGTTGACCTTTTACTTCCATCCGTGCCAAAATGCTTTATCTGACCTTTTAGGCTTTCCATGATAGTCTCAGCAAAAGTAATGAATGCAGTTTTACACAAAAGTATTTGACCTCTTAGATTATTTTCTTTATTTTTTTTCTCATTAATTATTCCAAATTTGATTTAAGGGTATTTATCTCGTCAATCAATTTTAATAAAACAATTTAATATGTAAATTGTTAATAAATAAGAGAATAGTACCAGAAATAATTGTGAAAATTTGATGGTTTTGCTATTTGAATATTCTGATAAATCATAATTCACAAATTAATGATTGAGTAAGCACCTTGCAAGTTCTTAACAATAAAATACCCATGGAATTTCCCCTTTGCATCGTTAAATTGAGTTTAACAACTTTAACAAAATATTGCAATAACAATCATAAGTATAAAGGTAGGTCATTATTTGAAGAAGTTTACAACTGGACATTCTATTACTATTACACTCTATTAGCTATACCAAACATCTCGCACTCTGCTTATCTCTGGGTTTTCTAGTTTCTTGAGTAAGAGTTTTTGCAGTGTTGTGTAATGTAACCTGCATTCAACAATTAAACCCTCGCACTGACTTCACTGACATGTAATACATAACATCTTGTGCTATAATTTTTGTCAGTGATGATCATGCTGATCTGACAAGTAGACAACCATCATTTAAAGAACTAAGAGGGTACAGATAAAATTTGACAAGGTTTTCCATTTCACTGAAATAGGTATTAAACACATGAAAGCATTATCACTTTCTCTATCTTCTCTCTCTCTTGCTTTCATTCTTTTTCTCAATAAAACCAAATAGCATCTCTTAAGTCTTTTCTGTCTTTACTCACGATGAAAACTGAATAGTCCATTATTTATGAGGTATTGGCAGGATGTGATACCTAAGAAACAAGCAAAATTATAATGTAATTGTCTGGAATTAAGATCTTTTTTTAATAATCTTCAGCAATTCTTTTACCTGTAAACTGAATTCATCACCACATTCAGTGCACATGAGATTTTCCTCCTTAATATGCAGTATGATGTGCGCTTTGAGGCTAGCAGTACGAGTAAACGTTTTGCCACACTCAGGACATGTTGGCTGGCGATTGTGATTCTGGGGGTGTGTTGCCATATGGAGCTTCAGGTTGTCCTCCACATTGAAAGAATCATTGCACTGTGTACAACGGAATGGTTTGTCGTCATCATGTGTCTTAATGTGACGCTGTAGCTGATTCCATTTTGGGAAGACTTTATTACAGATTTCACAGTGATAAGGGCCCTAAAAGAACAAAGAAAAAGAAAGAGACATTTACAAGGAATTAACAAAATGAACAGGTGTGAAATTTCTGGAAGGAGGACTTATCATTACAATAAAATCTCAATTTAACATTCCTCAATTTAAAGAATATCACTCACGGATCATATGAGTCATAATGGACTGACTTATTTTTACTGAACCAAATCAGATAAATGCTAGAATAAATCATTCAAGTCTGTGTTAAGTTACTTAGGTACATGTCAACTTTGTTAGCTATAAAGAGAGCTGTAAAAAAAAAATCTTGCTGATTTCAGCTATTTTTAAAGATATAACTATATCCCACTTGGCAACAGTGTGTGTGTGTGTGTGTGTGTGTAGTATCCATCAAAACTGACAGGATTATTTACATCTGAAACTTTGTAAATTTTCTCAACCTCATTTATGAGTGCAAAGTAAATTAAAGTGCAGCTTACATCAACAGCGCCACTTCCAAAAATCATCTCAATATGAGCAAAGAAAAATATATATACGATTGCTTTATTTGATATTTTATACACTTTTATGTAACATTGGTCATTCTTGTGCCGACTGTCTTGGACTTAACAAAACAATGTTTATTAAATGCAGTGAACTACAGAACTTGCTTCTTTACGAAATGAGAAACTTATCGGATTTAAAGAATACATTCCGCCAAAAATTAGTTCTATGAAGTCATGGTTTTACTGTATTTACATTATTTAAAGACTAATGTCCTCATTTTTGTTGTAATTATGACAATTCTTTGAACATATTCTTTGTTGTTATCAGCACTATACAGGTGTTTCCCAACACCATTTAGTCAAATTGCTGCCTTCCTCCAGCACCATGTGCCTAGTAAACATTAGTCAAGTCAAAGAACAAACACTATTAATGAATCATAGATAATTTTAGTGAGTCCTGATAATAATAATAATAATAATAATATATAAAAGAATATACATAAACAAAGAAAGAAAGAGGAGAGTGATGGCAAGAGACAAGGTTTTAAAGGAAAACACAAATGCTTTATTTTAATTTGGATTCTTTTTATTTTTGTTTATATATATTATTTTTATATTTATTCTAATCGGGACTCACTATATACTGACTCTGATGCACAATGCAAATTTGTACAAATAACAATTATAAAAAAAAATAAAAAACATTTGCACACACACACACACACACATGTACTACTTACTTTGCCCACTGGAGGTTTAATAACTGCTTCAGCAGTTGCAGTATGAATAGGCGGTGTTGGCCCAGGGTTGACCGGCGATAACACTGCAGCTGCTTCTGCAACAACAGCATGCTCAGCATCGGCTTCGGTGATATGCTCAAATACCACCGTGTGAGGAAGATTCGCTTGTTCTTGGGGCAGGGAAAGGCCATTATTTTGACTTACAAATGTCATGGTACCACCAGAAGTTCGAGCCACAGCTTCTGCTACCTGACTTAAATATTGTGTATAATCTGAAAAAAATAAAAATAAAAATACTCACTTTTTGTACTAAAAACATTATTTTCAATACATTTTTTGTAGATTTCATGTATCTATGAAACAGAGCTGGTACAAGGCCACAATAATGGAGTGCTCAATAAAAACTGACTTATACCATTAAAAACATTTACTGTTGTCAACACACTTATACTTTATGAAACTGACATTGCCTGCTGCTGATATAGATATACATTTTCAAGATTTTGTGAAATGTTGGTCCCTTGCAAGTTGGAGGCAACATTTAGCTTAGTCTGTATTGCAAAGTAGACAATTGAAACCAAAATGGTGGCACCCATGAGAAACTGCCATCAGTGTCTTTATAGTCATTTATTTCCAGTAAATGGAAATTTCCTTTTTTTCCCCAAAACAGGTCAGTACAGCCAGGCAACAGTGCTATAATAATGAAGTAGCAAAAGTTTTAATATGCTAAAAATTGCTCTATGGTATATACTTTTAAAATTTGTTTTTTAATACTAAATTTCACCCAATACATGGCTCAAGACCAATTTATGGTAGAGTGTATTTTTTTTGTTTTGTTTTTTTTTAAGCAAATTCATCCCAAGCAAGGCAGGAGTGCCACTAGCACGCAAGGGGTTACAGAGGATTGAGAACAAGAGTAAAGAGGCATGTTTGAGGAAAGGATACAAAGAAGGACAGGGAACAAGCTCAAGGTATCTGAAGATGTCGATTGACATTACATTTGAATATTTGAAGATTATAGTTATCAGGGAAGCAAGCAAGGGGAAGGGATGGATGTTGGATGTTGGATTTAACGGCATGTCAACTCCTATTAAGGGGAAGGGTGTTCTACAGACAGGAAGTGTGGAAGAAGAAGCTGTTTGAGCAGAAGAGGCAGTTACATTTACCAATTTTGACAGTGAAAGGGTGGGGCCGAGATACCAGTCAAAATGGTAATGATGAAATGATTATAAAAAAAATATTTTTTTTGATATTCTAAAAGAGACAGAAATTTTCTGTCTGAATTTTTGGGATGAGAAGTTATCTTTATTTATATCATTTACATGCAGATTATTATCTTCATCTTTGTTGTGATTATCACAATGTTTCGGCTGTTGTGCTCTCTGGCCTTCATCAGGTATATATTGATCCAGTTAACCTACAGGGAATTCCAAACAGAACACTTTATTTAATCTATAGAGAGGGGAGAGATTGTTCTCATACATGTCTAGGGATATCTCATCTAGGTTTTATTTTTACTACTGCTCAATTATTACTCACCCCAGATCGACATACACCTGATGAAGGCCAGAAATCACAACATCCGAAGCATTGTGATAACAAGAAAGATGAGGACAATAGCCTGCACGTAAATAATCTAAATAGAAACAGAAATGCATTGCTGTCTCATTTTTAGATTTTTGATATTTCTTACTTGATATTTATTTTAGTAAAATACATACAAAATACTTAACAGCAATCACAACTGAAAAGTAGTGCAGTGGCTCATTTAGTAAAAATGTTGATATTCCAGAGCAAAGTAGAGAGTCACTGTTATTTACTATATTATATGCTATATTATATACTATTTAGTATATTAATAGAATCCACAATGTGAATTTTATGTATATCAACATCAGCATGTAATTTATTTTTATTCAGTATAAATATCACAACAGCAATTCTTTTTCATTTAGTTGTATCTTAATTTCAGAATCAAGTTATCTACTCTACGTGTATATTTTCCTCTTTGCAGAAGTGAACATCTTAATAACAAAGAATTACAGACTATCACCATTATACTTGATTAAACTAATGATTAAATCAATAGCATTTTCTGAAACACTTTCATTGCACACAAGTGTACAAATGCTGTATATGCACTCAGTCATCATTGAAATGTAACCAAGATTTTTCTTTTTATTGCTAAGAGTGCAATAAATTTTCTATTGTTGCATAACGGCAGCAATTGACACAAAAATTCATGCTTAGCTCATTCAAAAATATTTTTGAGTGAGGAGAGATGGTGTATTAAGCATGTTTAAAGATCTTTTTTCATTTGATAGAAACAGCAGATAAAAACTGATTACTATGGTGGTATGTAAAAAAAAAGATATTTTTAACAATCAAGGAATACAAAACTGAATGAATAGAGATATTTTTTTAAATTTCTATTTTACATTAAAAAAATACTTTTCTGGAATTTTATTTTGATCAGGTGGCTTAGCACGACAAATGGTACAATAACGTAATTTATCCTTTGTACATTAAATCATACTAATACAAAAGAAACAACTGCCCACATTTTACTTTCTTAATTATTCTTATGAGATTTCTAGTTTAAGTTCTCCAATTCTCAAATGTTAAGAGTTGTAACCTAGGGAAGATTATTGAACAGAATAATCAAACAAAGGCTGGTAATGAACGATAATACTTAGGATAAGAACAACGCATATAAGATTCACCAGTAGCGCATAGAAGTAGTAGTCAACTGCTAGAAGTGAGTCAAGTGAATTTCACAATGAATCTTCAACTGCAGACCAACATACAGTATTTACTACTGTATTTATGTGAATGGGGACATACCCATTAATCATCTGTAAGTATGCTACAACATTAAGCAAGTCAGCATTTTCTTGATTCACCAACTAATGGATTCAAATTCTTGCTCTATCAACAACAGTGGCTAACACATGCCTCCAAAATAAATTGAATTGAGAATTTTTGTCTTCTAGCTGATATATAGTAACTTACAAATTCTTCAAACTTCAAAATTCACAATAATTCATCAATAGAATCATATATCTATCACTCCAAATCTCTTCTTTATCTGTAAGTATATTGTCCAACAATTCACTGCTATATTGGATATGGATTGATTTTTTTATGACTTATCAAACCTTTATGGGTTATTTAAATCCAAAACATATTTTGGCTTGTAAAAAAATTTTTTTTTTTTTTTGCAAATAAATATTACATTAACAATTTTTTGAGAATAACAATGATTTTTCCAGATACAAGTCCTACTATTTAACCCATAGCTGTGAGAGAGATGGATTAGTACTTTTCCCAAGGTTATTTGTGCATAATTGAATATAACAAACTCAACTGCAATTTGAACTCAGCTTTCTGATTTCTCATTTTGAGCCACTATCCATTATATGACCCACACGTTCTTCCATATACGAGATTAAATATTATGTTCAGTTCAACAATCTTTGATTTGTTTCTAACAACATTTCTTTATACATTCTGTCTGAATTTCTGGGATGAGGAGTTATCATTATTTACACTATTTATATTCGGACTATTGTCCTCATCTTTGTTGTTATTACCACCTGATCGCCTTTTGTCTGAATTTCTAGGATGAGAAGTTATCATTATTTACATTATTTACATGTAGACTAATATCCTCATCTTTATTGTTATCGCAACATTTCAGCCATTGTGCCTTCTGACCGTCATTAGGTGCTTGTCATTCCAGGTAATGTTCAGAGGTAGATGGCTCTCATTCCACTGCCCATATCCAGGAATATACCTTGTTTAGTTCTTATTTAGTACTTCTCAGTTATAAATCACCATGTTTCCACTGAGCAAGTAGACACTATCCAGACCAGGGATTGAACTGACAATTACCAAGATCAACAAGCACCAGATAAATAAATGACGGAGGGTACAATTGCCGAAATGTTGTAATAACAAATATATATATATATATATATATATATATATATATATATATATATATATATATATATACACTACTTTGCTTAGTTTTTGGGAAACATCTTTTGCTATTCTTAATCACCTTTGGATTTCTGTGTTACCCTTTCCATCATCTGTTAAAAAGATAGCTCAAGAGGTGAGCTAACAACTATACAGCCAATCTTCTTACAGTTAATAGTTAGTCCTTTCTTCTTGCTTTCTTCCACTACTTTGTCCAATAGTTCTTTCTGTTTTCTTTCTTAGTCTGCCATAAAGATAACTTCATCTGTGTATTTTATACTGTTAAGATTATGTCTGCCAGTAATAAATTCTGGTAGGTTTTCTTAAGATCATGTCTCTGTACAGATTAAATAAATCCAGTGAGAAAACATATCCTTGTCATACCTTTGAATTTAAAATAGACAAGTTAGGATGATTATTTGATTTAATTAATTAAAAATCCACCTGTGACATCCTTATTCCAACCACCCTTTTCATTAAATATTCAGGAAATTTCCTCCCACACCCATAATTTAGGCTGTGAGGACTATAGGACAAAGCATTTCATTACTGAAAATTATAAAAATTCCAGCCACTCATTTTATTCCAAACACCCTATTTGAAATTAAAGTGTTTTTTCTTTCTATTTTTGTACACTCCCTAACCTCTTTCACTATCCAAATGTAAGCTGTTTGTTTCTAGTAGAGGACATATATATTACTCAATTATCTTTTCAGTGTAAATCAAGCTTTTCTAATATTTCAAGTAGTTCATTATGTCATACCCTATTTAAATGCTGTGTAATCGATAAAACACAGTACATTTTTAAATAAAAGTTTCACTTTATTTTAAGTTCTAAATATCATTTTTGTGATTTTCTGTTGTTACCACACCCTACCCACAACTAACTTGGAAAGATGTTTCTTCAAAATAAAAATTATTTTCAAACATTTAAGAATTGGAAAATTTTTCAACTGAATCAGAATTTTTTTTAACTCAATATTAAAGCTTTTTTTAATATGCATATATGAAATGGGAGGAAAAGTGATCTCTTTAACTGTTGAAAGATGAGACAGACATTTTTTTTTTTAGCTTTAGGTTTATCAATCTAATTTCTCCAGGCAAATTCAATTTTAATCCAACTTTTAAATTTCACATAAATAAAAATTAAAATTGTTCGAGTAAAATAAAAAAAAAAAAAATGATATTTAGTAGAATTAAAAAATATTATTTTGAATTAATTAAAATATTGTATTTTATTCTTAAGTAACGCAACAAACAAGGAGGATGGATATTACAATTATTTTGA